TAATGAGAATTAGAAGAAAGCACTTTGATGTATGGAGCTACAATGATTTATACCAATTGAAAATCTGATATGCTACACTTAGTTAAATCCATTTATAGCATTTAATACTGAAGAAAAAATCTACCCCCCCGCCACCCACATACTCAACTTTACATGTATATTCTGAACATAAACATGCCTAGATTTTTGTTGGTTTGTTTTTTGTTTTTAACAGTTCTATAGCAATCCAAGGGGGTTTGATTAAGGGTTAAGTAGCATGACCTAAAGAACAGATACATGGTAACGCTGATGTTATTCATTAAGTCTGGTTTTTCACACTGGAGTTTCAGATTGCAACCTTAGTGATGTGTATGTCAGTAACTAGCTAAATATTTGTTTAAATATACAGTAGAATTTTGTAGAAAAGCAAATGTTTTCCAATTTATTTACTAGGGAAACTGCAAGATTTAACACAAGGCTACATGTAGACCATTTCTTTAAAATGTACTCTGGACTTTTTCATTCTACAGCCAGGTAGTGTTGGCTTAGAAATGGCATTTAAAGGCTTGTTTTTTGGGAATTGGCTTATAGGTATAGATATATGCATTATAAGATGTCAAGATGAGTAGCAGGGGTTAACTGATTTCTAAGAAGCTTGAGTCTCACACACAAAGTTTCTCATGGCCCTGGAGGCAGACAGGCTGTCTAACACAGCAAGGCCAACAAGCCTGGGAACCGAGGAAGTATGTACCATATTGCTCATAACATGAGATAAAGTGACACCAGCTGCTAGGCCCCAGAGAAGATGGGGGTGGGGAACAGACCAAATTAGGAGACGACCCGGAAGGCTATGTGGACATGTGACCACACAGAGACAGCCAGCCAGAGATGGCCACAGATGAAGAGTCATCAGGAGTCATCAAGAAAGAAGAATACAAAAGCAGACACTTGAGAGTAATAAAGCATCCCTCCTTCTCTTCCCTTCCATCCCTCCCTGTTCCTCCCCATCTCTTCTCCTCCTCCCTGAGAGGGGACCCACCCCCCGGGAAGGGTTCCCAAGGCCACCATGGGGGACATATGACCAACCTGTCTCATACACCCCACTGGAAGCAGGGTGGGGGATTCTGCATCCCACCTCCAGACTACTGACACCAAAGAGAGAGAGTCTTAGAGTGGAGCCTACATCTTGACCAGATGTACTTTGACTCCAATGACAGCCCTAGGATTTGGTAGATATACAGAATTGCTTGATTGTTTGTATTGCTTCTTTTCTGTTATCACTGTGTATCAATACAGTTGCCTATTATCAAATGGAGAGGTTGTGGTCAGTCTGAGAGTGTCCCCACCCCCCAGAACAAGGTCTCTGGGTCATAAATCCAGAGCCAACAGCCAGAAGTCACTGTTTAAAACACAGTGGCTTGTCTATGGGCTTCCAGTACATTAGGCTTTGATATACTCCTTAATTATTTCTTAACTATCATGATTTATGCATTTTAATGTTATGCTGCAACTGATAGAATGACATCTTTCCACAAAAATGGAAAGACTCATCAATAACTTGAGCTGTAATAAAGATAATGTTTAATGTTGTGTAAGATTATGTGCATGTCTAAGGCAATGAAGTGATGCTGCCAAATCTCTTCCGCTTGAGGTCTGTTCACGTTGTGTATTTGTATACTTTCATCATCTCATTGAGATTACCTATTCATACTTATCTCAGGGAGATCAGAATAAAGCCCAGAATTTCTGTAACATCACACATTGTATGAAACCTGTTCTGACAGATGCCCTTAGAATGAACTGGAGAACATACTTCATTTGAATTTTATGCCCCTAATGTTCAATATTTTATTACTTTTCCCCTTCCTCTTTCATATTTTTTACTCCTTTAATGAAATGTGAGAGAGCATTTCCAAATCTGTCTTATTAAAGGCTATGTAGCCTAATGAATAACATGGCTGCATGATATTCAAAGACATTAATTTCAAATCCTGTTACAACTGCACTTCTATAAAAACTGATTTACACTGGAGTTTTTTCCAAGTAGTGACTGAATAAGAATTGAGGCAATCCATTCAACACAAAGCTAGATTCCCTAAAAGTCTCACAATGGGAAGATGACAATTGTCAATTGACTCTGACCCACTGTAATATTGACTCTCTGCCTTTCCCAATTGACAGGAAGATGAAACTGACATATAGCCAGGAAAAAATATTTGAAAGTTTTGGAGATAATTTTTTTCTTCCTCTTTTTTGGACATTTTTCTCTATTTCTTCCTCTCAGATTCCAAACAGAAAGCCAGAACACTTCAGGCTAGTCTTTTTAAAAATATCTCTGTTTTCATGCCAGAATCTTTACCTGTAAAATTTCATTTATGAACAAAAAACTTACATTTGTGTGCAAAGCATTCTATGTTTACTCTAATTAAACAAGTGTGTGATTGCTTAAAATGAGAAAAAGCCACTACAAAGAAAAATTCCAATCTAAATGTAACACCAGAATTGCTTTCATTAAATGGAATTGTACAAACACCCACATCCTATATCTTTGTAGTTTAGTAGAAAGCTCAGAAGTTGTAGTTCATTTAGTTCCTTAAGAAGCGATGAGTGAGTTCTTTTGGAGGCGAGTTGGCATGGTCACTTTACCATTTCAGTCTTTCTAAGGTACAAGTACCGTATTCTGAATCCATCTCTTAAAATAGATGTTTATAATGTGGAGAGTAAAGACAGACATACAATTACAAATCACTCCAGAAAGTAATAAAAGGGGGAATCAAGGGACTAAATCTGCTTCCATTGAAATTAATGGAAAAATTCTTGTTGATTTCATTCACGAAAGAATTCCTCCTTTAGTAAGCTCAATTTTGTATAAACCTAAATTAAAAAGATGACCCTGCAGCTTGTATCTCAGCTTTGAATTAGAATTCATAGAAATTATTTTTATTAAAACATCTTCTAAATGGTATTTAGCACCCAAATGAGTCCAATGGCACTTTATAGTGTCATTAGATGTTTTCTTCTGATTTCAAATTAATGTCAGCAGCGCAATAAAACGTCTTTGTGGAATTTGCTCACTGAAAGGAAACCTGCATATACCACAAAACCACCTTGCCTGAGAAGGGTTTCCAAGTATGGGAAGACAAAGGTCCCCCTGGGAGGACAGATTCCCTGCAGCTATACAGAGGACTGATACAGAGGAAGAGGCTTTTGGAAGGGCACCAAAATCATGCTTACATGGAAAAATCTCATGCAGTGGAGGAATGGGAGAAGGACAATTTTTCAGCTTCGGTCTGGTACCTTCTGCTGGGATTGCAGTTGTGGAAATCAACAGCAAGACAAAGATACATTTTAACCACTTTAAAGGGGCAGGGAAAGATCATGTTTAGGAGTGTGAAGCAGCTGATGCAATGTGTTACTTCTACATCTGCGGGAGCCTGTAGTGATACAAGTTAGCTTAACAAGGTGGGGTTACTTACAGAAGGAATGATGCAGTTGTAACAGTTGCACGCGAACAGCTTATATCAATGTCAAGGAATATTGATGCAATTCTTAAGTGTACCCGTATCCTTAGATATTATCAGATATATAAAGCATAAAAATACTGTGGTTTTATGAAACATGATAGAATTTCATTTTGAACAAATACATATTCCCTTTTTCAGCTCTTCAATGACTAAAGGTACTTTAGGAGTGAAATTTGCTATACGTATTGTGCACATATTTAATGAACACAGCCTCAAAGCAATTTGGAAAATTACACATATATTTCCATCCACTTTACATGCCATAAGAGCTGTCCTTTATTTCTAATAAAAAATATTTAGTATGAACATGACTAAACATTTAGACAACTGAGTATGGGTATTATGCTTACTTATCTTTCCATGTAACTACACAAACTGATCCAGTATCAACTTTAATAAAGTAATTAATGCAGTCAGTATACATAGCTCAGGGCTGTCCAACTTCTGAATGGCTTAGGATCACAGGTCCCCCTGGCTGCATGATGTATTGCATGGCATGACAACACAGCATAGACCTGCCACTGTGTTGCACCACATGGGTGCTCCCATGCCATGTGAGGTCCCCTGGGCTCGCTGGACCTCGTGGGCTGCACTGCTCTGCCCTAACCCCACAGGTAAGGTCAGGAAGTGGGTGGAGGAAGGAGGGAAGTGGCACCCAGATCAGGATCCCAGGGCCTGAGAGTTAACCCCTCATGCCAGTTGGACAGCCCTGATTAATCTAGGTATTGAACATTAAATGCTGTAAGCATTGTTCCATATGACTGATACAAATGTAACTGTAGTTGGCAGAGAAAGCACTATTGTTAGCTTGAAATGTGCTCATCTGTTACTGACTAGAATTAAAGACTAGGCAAGCAGCATGTACGGTCTAAAAGACAGAACACTTAAGTCAGGAAACCAGTTACATACATGACTCCTTGCTTCTTCTCTTTTCCCCTCTCTTCTTTCTCCATTTAGAGTGTAAGCTCTCCAGGACAGGAACTGTTTCTTACTATATTTGTGCACTGCTTAGCACAGTGATCTCTAAACCTCAGCTGAACCCCGCAGGACTTTGCCTTACAAACAATGCTATATAGTGCCTGGGAATAAAATTCCAGTAAATTACCCAAAAAAATGACAACTAGACATATGGCCTGATAAATAGTAAATAATGTTTCATTCATTTCCACATTTAAAGCAAACTGGAACATCAAAACTTTCAAATTATCCTACAAATTCATCACAAAACCAATCTATGCAAGTTACTTTCCCTTTTTATAACTTTGGTTTTCACACTAGATTCAATGTTCCATGATCATCTTTTGTACCCTATCCCTCTTTAAGCCATGTTTCTGTAATAACCTTTCACACTCAAATGAAATTTATTCTAGGTTCATGGTCTTAGAACTGCAAACTTTTTGCGGCATAAGACTACATAGCTGTGCTACAATGGGGCCACATTCTCGAGCCTGGATGCCATACAATATATAATAAACAGCAATAATAAAAAACACTTACCTTTACAAACAAAGCATTTTATATGAAAATATTTGTTCTGAACTCTCAACACTTCTCCTTTACATGGGTTCCCACAGTTATTGCAGAGAATTGCAGTACTTGATGGCTTTTCCAGCTGGCTATGAACAGCCTGTGGTTGAGAAACTGTAGGAAAACACAAGATACATAAGAATATGAGGTACCTTCATAACATCTGGTGCAGAAACTAGATAAAAGTGTTCCTATTATAGCAACAAATAGTAAAAGTTGGCATTTGCAGCAAAACATGATGCATATGACATACAGGCCAAATTCCTTTCACTATCTAGTGAGATTACCCTCAGTACATCCATGCTTCAAATGTATTTTTCAGATGCACTGCAAACTCAAATAGACATCTCCATATTAGGTCTGGGTTTTGTTTTGTTTTTGCAAAATAAGAACTAGAAGCTTTTTCATATAAAATCTGAGAACCTGAAGAGCAATCAATAGGTTTTTGACCCCACCTAGCCCTCTGCTTAATCAAGTCCCACATTTATGTACTGTACATGGCAGGAAGCCCAGACATTTTTGATAACTTAGAGGCATTAAGTGCTATAACAATACTTCAGTGTTGTGGTACACTCACACAGAACTTTGCTAAGTCATCATGCATTTCCCTCTATGCATGTTGAAACACCAAGACAGGGATTCATTTCAAATGATTCAATTACAGTATATTAATACAGTAGCTAGAGAAAAATGATTATGAAAATAATGTGGACACAATTCTATCCTCACGCCCAGATGCCCTCAACTTTACAAGTCTATGATTACTTCATAGTTTTTAAAGTCAGATGGAAGGGATGTGAAAAATCACAATGGGATCTGTCTTTTTCCTTGTCACTCATGACAAGGAGTCAACTACTTTGGTAGTAATCTGGTGAAATGTGAAGCACAACAGAATTCAGCCAGCTTTCCCAAAGCCGCATGGCTCTGTGATATCAATAGCCAGAAAACGGTATAGTCAGTGAGGTTATCAGATAAGACACAAGGACCTGCTCTGCTCAGCCGGAACATGATTTTGTGAAGTGCTTAGTGCTTCCAATTCCAAGTACCATTTAGGACAGGTTTTTTTAAAAATGTTTTTATTACAAACCTACTTGGATAATAATAGCCACATATGGCAAATTGGCTGCAATAAAGACTACAGGTAACATCTTCAAAAGTGCCCATGTGCATTAGAAGCAGACAAGCATGTCTATACTATGTCCCTGCAAGAGTAGGGACTGCCACTGACATTTCAGCTTGGCCTTTCATCACTACTCTGAGCACAAACAGAACAGATGGCTTAAGACAGGGGTGCTCTGCCCCTGGCCCACTCACTCAGTGCTGCGTCGTCCAGCTCACGGAGCTGCTCACGGATCTGTGAGGAGTCCCATGGGCCTGCACACTAGATTTGACATGCAGGACAGTGAGAGGGCTGACCCAGTGCAGGGGGCCAGGCAGTGGCAGCACAGGGCCCTGGCACTCAATCCTGGCCCGGCTGAGTCAGGGCACCGCCCTGGATCCCAATCCCAGCCAGGCAAAGGCAATGTGGGGACCCTGGAGTGTGATCTCATTATTCAGGGGTAGTACAAGGCCTGAACCAGCCCATAGTCCAGCACCATTCACTTGGCCTGTTAGGCCAAACTGTGAACACCACTAACTTAAGAGTTCCCTCAGCGTGCCCCAGAGTAAACCTGAAGCCCTGTCTCAGAAGCAGTTGAGAGTTGTGCAACAGCTAATGAATGCTCAAAGTGTCTGTTCTACCTAACAAGCAGGCTAGGTGGGATGGGCTTGCTTCTCAGTGATGGTACCAGTCTTGGTAGGAAGTTGGCATCAATGTGCCCAAAGTCTCAAATTCAGAAAGGAATCAGGCACTTGGTAGCCCAAGTCTCACTTTAAAAAAATCAAAAAACAATCAGTAAGACTTTGGTTTCCAAGGATCCCAGTTATTTTTAAAAAATCATATGAAGTTGAAAAAAAATATCGTATCACCTAGCTTGAGCAACAGGTGAACAGTCACCTCTCCTATGGGAAGATATTATCCAGTTAAAAACCATATGTATTACACATGAATTCTATCCTTACTAATTCACATCCAGGGCACAACTTATCTATACAATGTTATCTAGATAAAAGCATACATACATACATACATACAGACACATATTACATGCATTCACACATTCACATTATGCATTATTCATGCATTCACGTTATGTGCGTGTTCTTTTATCTGAATACTATATCTCTACAAAAGAACTGATTCTCCACTTATTAAAGTTTCCATTTAATGCATCAGGGCCATAAAGCTCTACTAACATTCATTTTACAGTACAGACACAAACAATTCACACAATCAGCCTAGCTACAGGCACATATGTGGGATGTTTTCCAAGACTTCTTGAAATCAAGGGCACAGGTAAAATGATATGGGTGGAACAGGTCTCAAGAATCATCTACTCCAACCACCATCTAAAGATATTATTCAAAGACAGATTATGAAGGCTACTCTAGTGCTCCAAAGTTCAGAGGTTAGCTCCCTAGCTCTGTAAACCCGGGGTCAAGAGTAGGAATCTCACTGCAACCCTATTCTGATTTTGGAGCCCAGGTAGCTCATTTTGTACCATATTAGACTTTTGATGCGAGGGTCCAGGGTTCAAGTCCTTGTTCAGGCAGCAGCTGTTCTGTGTTGCATGGAAGCATGTGACTGGCAGAGGCCAGGCCAGCTGCCAGGGCCTGTTTTTGTGGATGTGACATACCTGGCTTTTAGCAAGATTTTAACATCATCTCCCACAACATTTTCATTGACATGCTAAAGAAATATAGACTAGATCAGGGGCAGGCTTTTATTTTGGGGGGAGGGCTGCTTAAGTTTTGGTGAGCCATTGGGGGCCACATAGGTAGCCCCACCCCTTAACAGTTTCCCCACCACATTGGGATCAGAAGTCCTGCCCCCTAACCCCTGGCCTTTGCCATCAGAAGTCCTACAAATGGAGGACAAGAGAGAAACACATGAAGAAAAAGGAACCGGGTAGAAAAGGTACTTTTGTTCCTGACATCTAAGAAAAGTAAAAGATAAGGAAAGTACTAAGAAAAGTAAAAGATATTTGGCAAATATCCTGCCATATATTTAGTAAATATAACTTACAAGTAAGTAAGAAGTGGCAAAGAGATTGAATTTCTCTGTACTGAAGTCTCACAGAATCTAATGAGCTCTTATCATACTTTACACATTCATAACTCAGCAAAATGCCATATATAGACTAATGTTTAATGTAAAAAAAGATACAGTAATTCTAACTCCCTGCATACATGCTAAATATCTGGCCAGATATTTG